AGAATAGAATAGAATAGAATAGAATAGAATAGAATAGAATAGAATAGCTTTATTGGCCAAGTGTGATTGGACACACAAGGAATTTGTCTTGGTGCATACACTCTCAGTGTACATAAAAAGAAAAGATACATCAGTGGTGAAATGTAAAATTTGTTACTACCAGTTCTGTGGGCGTGGCTTGGTGGTGGTGGGTAATGTGACTGGGTGGGCGTGGCAAACTTTTTTTTTTACTTTTAAAAGCATTTTTTCTACAACCTCTTCAGCCGAATAGATTGTAGAAAAAAATGCTTTTAAAAGCCTCTGATGATACCAGCTGAGCCACGCAATCATCAGAGGCTTTTTTTTTTCTCTTAAAAGCATTTTTTCAGCCAAAGAGGTTGTAGAAAAAATGCTTTTAAAAGTAAAAAAAAAAAAAGGCCTCTGATGATTGTGTGGCTCAGCTGGGCACGGGGGTGGGGGTGGGGCAGGGATTTTTGCTACCGGTTCTCTGAACCACCCGCCACCATCACTACCAGATCGGCAATCCAGTCTGAACTGGGAGCATTTCACCCCTGAGATACATTCGTCAAGAATCATAAGGTACAACACTTAATGATAGTCATAGGGAACAGTCAATATAAATCTTAAGGATACCAGCAACAAGGTTACAGTCATACAGTCATCAGTGGGAGGAGATGGGTGATGGGAACGATGAGAAGATTAATAGTAGTGCAGACATAGTGAATAGTTTGACAGTGTTGAGGGAATTATTTGTTTAGCAGAGTGATGGCGTTTAGGAAAAAACTTCTTGTGTCTAGTTGTTCTGGTGTGAAGTGCTCTAAAGCGTCATCAAGATAGCGGGCCCTATGGGGCAATTGAAGCTTGACAAAAAAATTTATGCAGGGTTTGTGTGCAGTGCACATAAAAATGGGCAAAGCTTCCGGCGCACTTTCACAATTCCACCATCTCGATACCCTTCAGACACTCTTGATCCTGGGATGTTGGGTAAGGCTTGATGCTCTTAAAAAGAGTGCCGCTGTTGCTTTTTGTCTTTTTAATTTCGGGATTGGCACTCCATTAGGCAGGCACATTGGGTGAGGGCAAACCATCCTCACCAACACAACCCGTCCCCTTAGCTCTTACACTCTCAAAATGCTATCTGTGCCCTCTGGCTTCAACAGACAAGACCTACCCTGTTTCCCCGAAAATACAACCTACCCTGAAAATAAGCCCTAGCTTGATTTTGACACATGCGCCCAATATAAGCCCTACTCCCAAAATACGCCCACCCATTCCAGAGCGCAAGAGTAAAAATTAAGCTAGGGTGGGGATGGGGTGTGTGGAGCTGCCCTACTACTTACCTTTGGACAGTTGTAGTTAAGCCTCGCATACCCCGACACCTGCTGGCCCATTTCTTCTGCAGCTGGCAAGGCTTTCCTGAAAGCCTCTGTAGCTGAGAACAAAGCTCCGGATCGATCCGGAGCTCTTTTATCGGCTGCAGAGGCCTTCGGGAAAGCCTTGCCAGCCGCAGAAGAAGTTCCTGAAGGTCTCTGACAGCAAAAAAGGAGGCGGCGGGGGGGAGGGTTACACGCAAAAGTGAGGTTAGTCAGTCGATGACATGCCCCGAAAATAAGCCCTGGTGCCTTTTTTGGTGGCAAAAAAAATATAAGACAGGGTCTTATTTTCTGGAAAACACGGTATAAGCAAGCCCAATGAGAAAGAACTCTTTTAGCAACCAGATGTAGGGGTTGTTCCAACTTGCATCCAACTATTGGACCACTATCTCCTGCCAATGTCTTTTTTTCCCCCTCCCCTGGCTGGGTTCCCATCCTGTTTTCCTCAA